CCCATTCTGTGGGTTGCCTCTTTGTTTTGTTGACTGTTTCCTTTGCTGTGCAGAAGCTTTTTATCTTGATGAAGTCCAAAAAGTTCATTTTTGCTTTTGGTTCCCTAGCCTTTGGAGATGTATCTTGAAAGAAGTTGCTGTGGCCAATGTTGAAGAGGTTACTGCCCATGTTCTCCTCTAGGATTTTGATGGATTCCTGTCTCATGTTGAGGTCTTTTGCCTGATTTCAAGCTATATTACAAAGCAGTGATCACCAGGACAGCATGGTACTGGCACAAAAACAGACATATAGACCAATGGAACAGAATAGAGAGCCCAGATATGGACCCTCAACTCTATGGTCAAATAATCTTTGACAAAGCAGGAAAAAATATGCAATGGAAAAAAAGACAATCTCTTCAATAAATGGTGCTGGGAAAATTGGACAGCTATATACAGAAGAATGAAACTCGACCATTCTCTACTAACTTTAGTTTCTATTGGTTATCAAGATTGTTTCCTAGGAGAGGGATTATTGGAGCAGAAAGTCTCAGTATGTGTACAGCTTTTGCTAAATACTGTTTTCTAAATGGATTTTGCCTACACCATCATGGTTGACCAGTTTTAGCCTATCTTTACCAGTATTGGCTTTTGTTCATTTCTGCTAAGTTAGAAGGTACTGAAAGTTGTCCTGATCTCAACTTTTGGATCACTAGTGAAGGGTATTGTTTGTGTGTGTGCATCAACCAGTGTGCAGTCTCTGGTTATAGTCTTTGTCTATTTAGGAGGTCAGGTTTGCCATTTTCTTTATGAATTTGAATGAACTGTAATAAATTGCTTAACATTTCCTAACAATTTCATGCCTAACCAATGAAATTACTATATTTGGGAGAAGAATGAGCAAATGATTTGATGAGGTTTATGTAAGGATGATCAAGATTTTCTACTAGTGATGGGGGTGCTAACTTTTTTTTAAGTAGGCGCATGGAGCCCAGTGCAGGGCTTGAACTCATGACCCTGAGATCAAGACCTGAGCTGAGATCAAGAGTCAGATGCTTAACTGACTGAGCCACTCGGGAGCCCCAGGGGTACTAAATTTTAATTCTCAAGTGGTCAGATATCAAATGATTCTACATTAGACAGTGTGATTCTGCAAGAGACTGATCTGTTGAAGAAGCATCCGATTTCTGTGCCTTGAATAAGGGAATAGCTAGCCCAATGTTAATCTCTTTACCTAGTGCAGCACTTATATCTGTATTTGCCCTCACAGCTATCCTATCACCTTTTGTACTTGCTGCTCCCTGCTCCCTGCACCAGTGTCATTTCTCTCTTAAGGAATATTGTAGTGGGGTGGGGGGTACTGTAGAAAGGAATATCAAAGATTTCCCTTAATTACTCTGAGCCTGCTCATACATTAAAAAGTCTTTTTCTTCTAAGATCTGGTTGTTTTGTAACAACCAGGGCACTTTAGAATACCCACTCTACCATACTACTAGAACAAAAAGTCCATATTACATTTTTGGTTAAAAAAATAAAAATTGAAAAATTGAAGAAATAATCCCTCTGTCTTCCACTCCAGATTCCTCCATGAACACTCCAGCCATGGGAGTGAACACACCTTACCAGCTTGTCTATGAGTCCTCTACTGGCTGTCTGAGCTTTTCTCTCTCAACTGGAAGGGAAGTCAAGAAGAAAACAGGTAATAGAGGATTCCATCAAGACCTATCAGCCCATCTCTGGGGGTGGAACTGGAGAGGGGGATAGAGGATTTCCAGTGTAGGTTGATGAGATGGCTTGTTTTAGTTTTCTGATAAGAAGGATTAATGACCATCTTGGCTGTTGGCAGAAGCTATTGACACAGATTCTGTCCCATGAATTTTGACACATCTCAATCCAGTCACTCCACAATGCAGTCTCATCATTTGAATGTTTACATGCCCTCCACTCCTGGTGATGTGATTCACATAACATCATTTAAACATCTCCCTGATTCACCTGGGACAACATCCCTATCAAACCCACATCTTCCACCCCCCCAGTATCCCAAACTCATCCCTTCTACTCAGAGAGAGATCTGTGTTGCTCCTACTCACACAGCAAGTGAGGCAACCAGTATCTGAATAGAGGCATTTGGATAACAGACCTAACAGAATGTCCCAATTGGGCCAGTTCATGCAGGAAGAAGAGAAAGACATAGAGGACCCTCCTATTTCCACCAAGGAAGACACACAACAGAAAGAAAGGCTTAAGAGAAAGAATAGGTGGCAAATGAGACCAAACAGTATAGCAGCAACCATGCAGCCAGAAGCTCAGAGGAGAAAGAAGTTGGGGCTGGAGAGGGCAGGGCAGGGTCTCATGGAACTTCTGGTTATCTCCCCACCTCCCTACCCAACCAGCTGTGATGGCAGATGGAGAAATGGGGTAGGCAAGGGAGGGCTGTATTTGCAAAGAGATGGTGGGAGGATCAACATAAGGTGGGAGTGCTCTAAGACTGTCCAATCGATTCCCACAGACACTGGAGGTAAGGCTGGAAATTGAGAAGTTTGGATATTATTTCTGACCCCACCCCTGGATGGCTGTGTGATTTGCCTTCCTCCAGGCCTCATCTCCATATCAAGCTGATGCTATATCCTTTCAGTTAGTGACCAAATGTTTAGTGAACAATTGCTAGTTGTCATTCACTGTTCTAAATCCTGGGGGTACACATGTGGACTCTAAGACAAAGAATACCTTCCCAAATGGAACTGACTTCTTCAGCTTCCTTGCTTGGAGTAGATTCAACGACCCCGTCTGATTTCTCCAGTTCCTTTACCTCTGTTGATGTACTTTCTCTCACTGTGGTTCAATAACCCACAGCATCATTTCTAGCATCCCACTTTATGTGCTCCTGGTTTTATTATATCCACTCCTGAAGTGGCCATATTAAACACAATCCCTTTGAAAGAAAACGAAGTATCTTCAAGATACACAGTGATTTCATGATTTTTCTTCCTAATGACCTTGAGGGTAATGCCTTCTGTTGGTCTCTTTGTCTATCTGGCTGTTTTCCTCTGCTACCCCACCAAGATGTGATTTTTCATCATGATGTTGCATTGTTCTCACTAGATGTGTGTTCATGGTGCTGCATTTCTTATAGGTTCTTGATGTGTTTAGAAATTCATCTCACACATGCATGCTAGAATGGATGGTTAACTTTTCCTAATAGTTTATAAGTAACTATGTGACCTATCTTGCCCAGGAGTGTCCCAATTTATGTTTATTTTCCTGACATAACAATTAATGATGCCCATTTCTCTAAAACCTTTGCCAGTTTGGACATACTGTAGAGTTATTCTGGTTTCAGCCACTTTGAATTTTGGACCTCTACTATCTGTTCATGCACATGTGCTATGACACCTTACCAACTGCCCCCTTTGCAGTTCTAGGGCCAGGCAGACTTGGAGCAGACAGGCTTCAGGAGTTAAGCCTACTCCCTGAGGGGACAACAGCTATTTCTGGAAAGTAGCCCAACATTATAGAAGGAGAACTGAGAGAAGTTTGTCAACAATGGTTCCTGGTTGGGGCAAGAGGCTGTCATCCTCAAGGACTCAAAGCACCTAGGGCCCAGCCAGACATGAATGGTCAGACCGAAAGATGTTCCAGGATGTCAGCCAGCAGCTCTCTGGGTCTCAGGGCCAAGTCTCTGGTCTTTGGTGGCAGAAGGAGTGGGGAAGGGACCAGAAACCACTCATGGTGGCAGATACCAGATACGGTATCCAAGGACCAACCAGAAACCCCGAGGCTTGCTGACAGTGAGGAAGACTTCATTCTGTGGTGCTCAGGGCTCAGCTGGAGCCTGAGTAGTGGCTTTGGCTTGGAACCAGTTTTCATTCATGAAGTTGAGCCTGCATATATTAAGGGAGAGTACGTGGCTCCATTTGGGTGGGCAGCAGAGGCTCAGAAACATGTGGACCTCGATAGATGCCTCTGGAATTTCAGTCATGAAGGACCCCTCCACAATTTCATGTCACCATATCCTTATACCAACAAATACTTGCCATAAGGGGATAACTGAAAATAAGTGCAATAGGCACAAAACATTGCCACCCACAGATTTGAGCAGGCAGAAGAAAGAATAAGCAAAATTGAAGATAGAACAATTGAAATTATTGACTCTGAAGAACAGAGTCCAGGGACCTGTGGGACACCATCAAGGAGAATACATGTGCATTGTGGGAGTCTCAGAAGAAGGGAGAAAGGGACAATGAGAATATTTGAAGAAATGTTGGCTGAAAACTTCCCAAACTTGATGAAAGATGTGAGTATAAACATCAGAGAAGCTTGGCAGACTTCAGATAACATGAACTCAAAGAGACCCACACCAAGACACATTATATGACAGAGAACCTGGAAAGCAGCAAGAGAAAACCAAATCATTATATCCAGGGAATTCTCAATAACATCATCAGCAGATATCTCATCAGAAACTTTGGAGGCCACAAGGCACTGGGCCTGAGTGTTAAAAAGAAAAAAAAAAAAAGACCTGTCAACCAAGAATTCTGTCTTTAACAAAGCTGTCCTTCAAAAGTGAGGGAGCTATTGAAACTTTCCCAGATTGACAAAACCCAAGGGAGTTCATGACCACTAGACCTACCCTTCAAGAAATGCTCAAGGGAGTCCTGCAAGGTGAAATGAAAGGACACTAGACAGTACCTTGAAGCTGTATGGAGAAATAAAGTTCTCAATAAAAGTAAAGATATGGGCAATTATAAAGCTAGTATTATTGTAACTGGTTTGTAACTGCACATTTTGTTTCTTACATGATTAAGAGACTAATACATTTAAAGAAAAAATTAGTGTAAAAGCTAGTATTACTGTAACTTTGGTTGGTAAGTACAAATCTTATTTTCTATGTAATTTAAAAGATTAATACATTTAAGAGAATTGTTATTTTGTGTTTTGGTGCACATAATATATAAAGATGTAATCTTGTGACGGCTGAAAGGGTTGGAGATGAAGCTATAAAAGAGGAGAGTTTTTGTGTGTTACTGAAATTAAGCTGGTAAAAATTCAAATTAGAGTGCTAGAACTTTAGGATGTTAAATGTAATCTCCATTGTATCCCCAAGGTAACCACAAAGAAAATAGCTATAGAATATATAAAAAAGCAAATGAGAAAGGAATTTAAACCTTTTATGACAATCAATATAAAGAAAACAGTATTGAATGATATGAGGGACAAAAGCCATAAGGCATATAGTAAACAAAAAGTACAATGACAGAAGTCCCTCATCAGTAATTACTTTAAATGTGAATGGATTAAAATCTCCAATCAAAAGACAGAGATTGGCAGAATGAATAAGAACACATGATCCAACAATATGCTGTCTATAAGAGATTCACTTGAGTTCCAAAGACTCAAACAGGTTGAAGGTGAAAGGATGGGAAAAAATCTGAAACTGATGATGTTCTATATATTGGTTAATTGAATTAAAATTTTTTTAAAAAGGAAGGATGGAAAAAGATATGCTATGCAAAGAGTAACCAAAGAGAGTAGGGGTAGCAATACTAGTATCAGACAAAATAGACTTTAAATCAAAAAAAGTTACAGGAGAAAAAGCACACTGTGTATTAATAAAAGTTCCAGTACAACAAGGAGATAATATAAGTGTTTAGCACCTAATGACAGACCATAAGAATATCTGAAGCAAAAAAATGTATATCTGAAGCAAAAACTGACAGATAAAAGACAGACAGTTCTACAATAATGTTTGGAAATTTCAATACCCTACTCACAGTAATGGGAAAACAACCAGGCAGGAGATTAGTAAGGAAATAGAGGACTTAAATAACATGATAAACCAATTAGAAAACAACAAAAACAATACACATTCTTCTCAAGTGCACATGGGTCATTTTTCAGGATAGGCCATATGTCAGGCCACAGATTGTCTCAACCAATTAAAAAAGATAGATATCATACAAAGTATCTTTTCTGACCACAATGGGATGAAGTTAGAAGGCAATAACAGAAGGAAAATTAGAAAAAAATCACAAAATTGTGGGAAGTAAATAATACATTCTTTATTTATTTATTTTGAGAGAGAGAGAGAGAGCAGGGGGAGAGGGAGTGGGAGAGAGAATTTTAAGCAGACTTGCGCTGAGTGTAGAGCCTGACAAGGGGCTCAATCTCATGGCCCTGAGATCATGACCTGAGCGAAAATGAAGAGTCAGATGCTTAACTGACTGAGTCACCCAGGTGCCCTGTAAATAACATTCTTAAACAACCAACACATTAAAGAAGAAATCACAAGGGAAATTAGAAATTAGAGATGAATGAAAATGAGAACATCATATACCAAAACTTACAGGATGCAGCAGAAATAGTACTAAAGGAGGGGGGGAATTTATAGTCACAAATGATTACATTAAAAGATAAGGATATCACATCAAAAAACCTAAATTTACAACTTATGGAACTAGAAAAAGAAGAAGAAATTAAAACCAAAGCTAGAAAAGGAAAGAATAAAGATTAGCACAGAGAGAAATGAGAGAATTAAAAAATAACTGAAATTAAAAATTGATTCTTTGAAAAGATCAACACAATTGATAAACTTTTAGCTAGATCAACTAAGAAAAAAGCGATAAGACTCAGATTACTAAAACAAATTGAAAGTGGGTACTCTATCACTGATTATTCTACAAAAATGAAAAAGATTATGATAGAGTACAATGAACAATTGTACATGAACAAATTGCATAACTTGCATGAAATGGACAGATTCCTAGAAACACAAAACCTACCCAAACTAAATCAGAAAGAAGTAGAAAATTTTGATAGACCTATAGATTAAATCGGTAACCAAAAATCTCCCAACAAAGGGGCACCTGGGTGGCTCAGTCAGTTGAGCATCCGACTCTTGGTTTCAGCTTGGGTCATGATCTCAGAATCCTGCTGTTGAGCCCCGCATTGGGCTCCCAGCTTGGCCAGGAGTCTGCTTGTCTCCCTCTCTTTCTGCTGCTCCCCTCGTTCATACATTCTCTAAAATAAATAACTAAATCTTAAAAAAAAAAGTCTCCCAACAAAGAGAAGCCCTAGATTTGATGGCTTCAGTGGTGAATTCTACCAAACATTTAAAGAACTGATTACAATCATACTCACCTTTTCCAAAAAAAAAAAAGAGGGAACACTTCCCAACTCATTCTGTGAGGCCAGCACCAGACAAAGGCATTACAACAAAAGAAAACCACAGACAATATCCTTTATGAACATTGATGCAAAAATCTTCAACAAAATGCTAACAACAGAATTCAACAGCACATTAGGGATTATACACCATGACACCAAGCAGGATTTATTCTTGGAATGCAAGGGTGGTTCAACACACAAAACTCAATCACAGAATGAAGGGGAAAACCACATGATCATGTCAACTGATGCAGAAAAAGCACTTGACAATTCAACACCCTTTCATGATAAAAAACACTCAGTGAAGTAGGAATAGAAGTAAACTACCTTCACATGGTAAAAGTCATATATGAAAAACACAAAGCAAAAATCATACTCAATAGTGGAAGACTGAAAGCTTTTCTTACAAGATTAAGAACAAGGCAAAGATGCCCACTTTCACCCCTTCTATTCAATATAGAACTGGAAGTCCTAGCCAAAGCAAGATTGACCAAGAAAAGGAATAAAAGGCACTCAAATTGGAAAGGAAGAATTAAATTTATCTGTTTGCAGATAATATGATCTTGTATACAGAAAACCATAAAGATTCCATACAAAAAAAACACAAAACCTGTTAGAATAAATGAATTCATCAAAGTAGCAGGATACAACACCACACAAATCAGTTCATTTCCATATACAAACAATGAATGCTCTGAAAAGGAAATTACAAAAACAATTCCATTTACAATAGCGGAAAAAAGAGCAAAATATTTAGGAATTAACTTAACCAAGGAAATGAAAGACTTGCACAATAAAAACTACAAAGCATTGCTGGAAGTAAATGAAGAAATAAATAAATGGAAACATATCCTATGTTTATGAACTGAAAGAGTTAAAATTGTTAAAATGTTAATACTATCCAGAGTGATCTACAGATTCAAAGCAATCCCTATCAAAATTCCAATGACATTTTTTGCAGAAATAGAAAAATTCATCTTAAAATTCATATGGAATCTCAAGGGACCCCTGAAGAACCAAAACAATCTTGAAAAAGAACAAAATTGGAGGACTCACATTTCCTGATTTCACAACTTACTACAAAGATACAGTAATCAAAACAGTATTGTATTGGCATAAAGACAGACATATAGACCAACAGAATAGAAGAGAGTCCCCAGGAATAAATCTTTGTATATATGGTCAAATGACTTTTGACAAGGATGCCAAGACCATTCAATGGGGCATTCAGTCTTTTCAATGAATAGCACTGGGAAAACTGGATTTCCACATGCAAATGAATGAATTTGGACACTTACCTAATACCATATATAAAAATTAACTCAAAACGGATCAAGGAACTAAGTACAAGACCTACGACAATAAAATTCTTAGAAGAAAACATAGGCAAAACTTCATGACACTGGATTTGGCAATGATTTCTTGGTATGGTACAGCAACAAGAAAATAGGCAAATTGGGCTTTGTGAAAAATGTTAAATTTTGTACATCAAAAGACACTATCCATAGAGTAAAAAGGTAGAATGGGAGAAAATATTTGCAAATCATATATCTGATAATTATAATTCAGACTATATAGAGAACTTCTAAAAACGCAACAACAGAAAAAACAAACAACCTGACTCAAAAATGGGCATAGGACTTGAATGGACTTTTTTCCAAGGGAGATATACAGACGATCAACAAGCATATGAAAAAATGTTCAGTATCCCTCATCATTAGGGAAATGCAAATCAAAAACTGCAGTGAGATACTCCCTCATCCCCAGTAGGATGTCTACTATATAAAAACAACAACAACAACAAACAACAAACAAAACACAAGAAAACAAGAGTTGGAAAGGATATGGAGATACTGGAACCCTTGTGCACTGTGGGTGGGAATGCAAAATGGTGTCGCTGTTATGGAAAACTGTATGGCATTTCCTCAAAAAATTAAAAATGGAATTACCATATAATCCAGTAATTCCACTTTTGGGTATATACTCAAAAGAATTGAAAGCAGGGTCTCAATGAGGTAAGTGCATACCCATGTTCATAGCAGCATACGCACAATAGCTAAACCATGGAAGCAACCCAAGTATCGATCAGTGGATGAATGGGTAAAGAAAATGTGATCTATCCACACAATGGAATATTACTCAGCCTTAAATTCTGACACATGCTATAATATGGAGGAATCTTGAGCACATTATGCTAAATGAAACAAGCCAGTCACAAAAAGACAAATACTAAATGCCTCTTCTTAGATGAGGTACTTAAGAGTAGTCGGACTCATAGAGACAGAAAGTAGAGTGGTGGTTGCTGGAGGCTGGGGGGAGTGGAGACTGGGAAGTTATTGTTTAATGGGTAAGAATTTTAACTTTAGAAGATGAAAAAGAGTTTATAGAGATAGATGGTGGGGATGGTTGCACAACAATGTGAATGTATTTAATACCATGGAGCCATCCACAGTAAAAATGGTAAGGCTGGTAAATTTTTGTGATGTGTATTTTACCACAATATGTAAAAAAAAAAATTTCAATCCAAGTCTCAGTCAATATACGCTATCTTCCACAGAAGGCCTGAGATTAGCCAACATCAGAGAAGTGTTACAGTTGATTGAGTTGGAACTGAGACATTCTGTCTTCTTTTTTTTTTTGAGAGAGAGAGAGTGGGGGGGAGTGGGGGATGGGCAGAGGGAAAGAAGCAGACTCCCCACTGAGTGCAGAGTCTGATGCAGGGCTCCACATGGGGCTCGATCCCACAACCCTGAGATCATGACCTCAGCCAAAATCAAGAGTCGGTTGCTTGACTGACTGCACCACCCAGGAGCTCTGAGAGAGAGAATCTCAAGCAGGCTCTACACGCAGCACGGAGCTTGATGTGGGGCTCAATCTTACGACCCTGAGATCATGACCTGAGCCAAAATCAACAGTCCGACACAACCGACTGAGCCACCCAGGTGGCCCTGAGACTTTATCTTTATTCAGAAGTGTGAGAAGGGAATCCCTTCAGCATCTATGACAGTCACATATGCGGACCATCCTGGGGAAACACGGCTGGGTTCGTCACTCTGCACATGTCTGTTCCTTATGCATGCTTAGTTGACTTGCAGAGCGTTGTCTCTGTGTTACAAGTGACCTGCCAGGAACTCTTGTCCCTGGGAACCATGAATGATGCCCCCAATTATTTTGACCGTCAGAAGATGCTGCTCTCCTGCTCTCCCTGCCACCTCATCTCCACATGAGCATGATGTCTTAAGAAGCCATTCTCTAAAACTCCTCCCTAACCTCTTCCTCTCCAACCACAGGCAAATCAAAAAACGTAGAAGACATAACCATGCCGTCCTTCCAACGAGGAGCCGGAATCTCTGCCTCCGACAGTGTAGAGTTCAGTGACCCCTGCCCTGAGGCCCGGGAGAAGCTGCAGGAGATGTGTCGCCATATGTGAGTGCCTCAGTGGTTGGGGGCAGATGCAAGAATTGGGTATGGCCACCAGCTACCTGTGTGTGCATGAAGGGGAATTCACAGAGGTGTCTGAGTGGTGCCAGGAAGCGCTGGCTACCCAGTGCCCCCAACGACAGTGACAGGGGTCCTGGCCATCCCTCACACGTGCTCCCATCCCCAGTCTCTCCCCACTCACAGTCCTTTTCAGTCCTTACTACAACCTGATGAGGAAGAGGGGGTAGGCCCATTTTGCGGATGAGGAAACTGAGGCAGCCCAAGCAGATGGGTAAGCCATTGCCAGAGGTCCCACAGTTTGGTGGACCTGACACCAGGGCACTGATCTTTGCCTCCTCACCCTTTGCAGGGCTCCTTACACTTTTAAGGCTTTGTGCTCTGAATATTTATTTCTTAACATAATTTGTCAGATGTCTTCCTATAACAATAGCAGCAGCAAAAATCCTTTCAGAGCAAAAACAAACCATTGACATGGGTGATTAATGATATCTATGATTCTGGGTCCCACGAGTCCTAGTAAGTTAGTCTGTATTTCTCCAAAGACTCAGACCATGGGCCATAAAGGATTTAAAACCTAGCCCCATTTAAGGCATAAGTCTTGGGCTCCCCTGAGCTATTAATACAGCTACAGAACACAGGAGGAGGGAAGCCGCCCAGCTTGCCCCTTACTGTGATATTCTGGAAGGAAGTTCTTTCCTTGTAACCTCAGGAGTGGGGAGTGAGCAGAGCCTCCAGCTCCCCCCACCATGTCCCCCTTCTGTACTCAGTCCCACTCCATGGGTCCTCACCCCATTGCTGAAGATGAAAGTTAGGAAAGGACTAGTTTCAGAGGGGTACTGGGACCTTCCCAGTTCTTCCTAAAATTCCTGGCTTTAAGGGCAAGGGGGAATGGGGTGGGCAGAGGTACTCTGGGGACAGGGAAATGGGATGGGAGTCTTGGGAACTGGGCCGGGGCTCTAGAGAGAGTGTCCCTGGTGACTAAGAGCCAAGTGACTTCTTAGAAGATATGTTGGTCTCCTTCCCTGCAGACAAGCCGAAAGGGCCTTGTGGAAAGGGAGGAATTTTTCCTGCCCCCTGATCTTTCGCAACTACAGGGCAAAGGTGCCCTCTCATCTAATGTCAGCCCCGAAAGGGGACGCTCAGAGCCCAAGCTCCCACCACCCTAACCCTCCAGGTGCTCAGACTTCCACTTCCACCGTTCACCAGCCCCCTGCCCACCACCATCCTCACTTCGTCCGGCATTCTCAGGAGTGGAAGGTATCCAAGAAGATCATCAAGTTCCATTATGCCTTCTATGATGGGTCCTCCTTTGTGTAGTATCCTTTTATTTACTGCTGTCCCTTCTCCCCAGCCACTCAGCCCCAGAAAATACCCAGGCCTAAATAAGCCTAAGTATTTACTTTGGCTTTTCCGCTGACCGGAGAAGCCTGGTGACAGGTTCTCCAGGATATTAGGCGTTTGTCCAGGTCAGAGAGGGTTCCCTTTGGGGAAGGCCTGGGTGGGAAGCAATGCATCAGGAAGTCACCTTGGACACCTGTGTTCCTTGCAGGGGTCCTGTCACCCACTCCCCAACAGGCAGCAGAGCTGGACCAGATGCCCAGCCCATTTGGCAGCAAGGCTCTGAGGCCAGAGAGGGTGAAGCACTTATTCCAGGTTCTGCAGTCTGAGTCGGATAAGACATCAAAGAGGAGCCACTAAGCCAGACATCCCTGTCCCTTCCTTGTAGTAATGGATGGTGTCACTCACTTCAGTGTCACGAAAGGAATTTGGTGGCAGAGCCAGGCCTGGATTCAGGGCCGCTTCACCTCTATTTAGGGCCCTCCTCCTGGCACAATTGTTATGCCTTCCAGGATTGTTTCCTGCGGCAGAGAGCAGGAGAGGGGGATGGAAGGGGGCCTTGTTTAATAATAAAACCACTGGGTACTCAGTGTCCCACACCTTTGGAGGAGAGGGAGCTCTCTGAACTGTCAAACAGGCTGCCCAGCAGTAGCCCCCCCTCACTTCATTTGGCCTCCTCTCCAACTGAACTGGGAATTCAGAATTTAAGCGCCTTGTCAAAGGAGTCCTATTGTTTCTCTGACCGTAAATGAATCCATTCATCACACTCCGTTCGGCCCTGCTTCCAGGGAGCCCTGTGATATTGAACACAGCAAACTCCTTCCAGGGTAACTGCTGGTTGCTGGGGATCATGGGCTCTCCCTTACCCCTTTTCTGATTCTTCATTGCCTTGAGTAGGATCATCTCCCTGAGCTCGAGAAGCTGTGTCTGTGAATTCTGTTGCTATCAGCAGGACCAGAGTGGGTGGGCTAGAACACAGCTTTCGTTCTCTCCCCTGTCCCAGAATCCCAAGGTCCCCCTGGGTGGGACAACCCCAAACCTGCAGGCCCTGCTACTGGCATGCTTGACTCACACGCAGTGACCACATCCTGGCCATCAACGCATTTCCTCTTTGCGAGTCCCAGGAGGCTAGGTTCTAGGCCTAGTTCTTCTTGGTGACCCTGCACAGTTCACTTCATCTTTCTCGGCCTTACCTGCCTTCATTATAAGCGGAAGAAGTTGGACCCAGTGATCTTGAAGGAGAAATTCTGTGTTACTGTGTTCCAATGGCCAAAGCTGATGTGTAGCTGTTGGATCCCTTGCAAGCAGAGAAAAATGTTTGGAAGACATTTTCTGGGCTCAGCAGTTACTTCCGGTCTCATGAAGATGGCTGGGCAAAGCTCTCAGGTAGAAATGGCCTATCTGCCCCTGAAGTGCCAGAAAGCTGCTAGCCCTGATTGGTTTGCTCTTTGCACCAGACTCCAGAACCATCCCAGTATGCATTTCATTTGTGTTTCATTCCCTTCATTGTCAGCATCTCCCAGATGTCTTCCCACAACTGCTGATTATCCCATCAAACATCCCTCAAAGCCTTTTTTCCTATGCACAGACTCATCACATTAAAAACAAACCTAATCACTGTGCTCAGCACTGTTCCTTTAGGAATTGGTGGAGCACTCAGAAATACTCTGTGAGGTACACATTTTTTTTTTAATATGGAAAAATGTACATCACATAAAATTTCTCATTTTGACCATTTTAAAGTGTATAATTGAACAACATTCACAATGCTGTGCAGCCATCTCCACAATCTAGTTCTGTGACTTTTTCATCACCCTGAAAGCAAACCCCATGTCTGTTAAGCAGATGCTCCCCATTTCCCCCTCCCCCACAGTTCCCGGCAACCACTAACCTGCTTTTTGCCTCTTTGCATTTGCCTGTTCCAGATAGTTCATATAAATGGGATCATGCAGCGTGTGGCCTTTTGTATCTGGCTTCTTTCACTCACCATTATGTTTTCAAGGTTCATCCACATTGTGATATACATCAGTGCCTCCTTTTTTTATTGGGGTGAAATTCACATAATGGAAATTAAATCCTTTTAATATATACAATGTAGTGGCAGTTAGTGCATTTACAGTGATGCTTCCATCACTTGTCTCAAGTTCCACAAATTTTTCATCACCCCAAAAGAAAACCCTATGCCCATTCAGCAGTCACTTTCTGTTTCCCCTACCCTAGCCCTGGCAACCACCAATCTGATTTTTGTCTCTTTTGATTTGCCTCTTCTGGACATCTTTTTTTTAAAGATTTTTTGTTTATTTATTTGACAGAGAGAGACACAGCAAGAGAGGGAAAACACGCAGGACTCTGGGATCATGACCTGAGCTGAAGGCAGACGCTTAACTACTGAGCCACCCAGGCGCCCCCTCTTCTGGACATCTTATAAATCCTACAATATGTGGCCTTTTGTATCTGGCTTCTTTCACTGAGCATAATGTTTTCAAGGGTTATACATATTATAGCACATCTCAGAATTTCCTTTTTGTGGCTGAATAATATTCTATTTTATGGATGTTCCACTTTTTTCTAATCCATTCATTTGTTTATGGACATTAGGTTTTTCCCACCATTTGGCTATTGTGAATAATGCTGCTATGCACATTCTTATAAGTTTTGTTTGCACACCTGTTTTCAATTCTTTTGGGTCTATATGTAGGAGTGGAATTACCAGGTCATATGGTAATTCTATGTTTAACTTATTGAGAGTCCTCCAAAATGTTTTCCCCAGTGGCTCTACCATTTTATATTCCCACCCACAATGTGTGAGAGTTCCAGATTCTCCACATTCTTGACTACACTTGATATTTTCCAATTTTTAAATTCCAGCCATTCTAGTGGATGTAAAGTAATATCTCATTGTGGTTTTGAATGGTTTTCCTAATAACTAATGATTTCAAGCATCTTCATATGCTTTCCTGGTATATCTTCTTTGTAGAAATGTGTATTCAAGTCCTTTGCCCATTTATTTGATTGTCCATTACTTAATGAGTTGCAAGAATTGTTTATATATTATAGATACTAGATCTTTATCGGATAAATTTTTTTTCTATCCTGTGGGGTGTTTTTTAATTCTCTTGATAGTATCCTTTGATGTATAGAAGTTTTCAATTTTTATGGAGTCCAATTTTTCTTTTTTTTTTTTTTTCTTCCTTGTGCTTTGGGTTTCATATCTAAGAAACCATTCTTATGCCTATATTGTCTTCTAAGAGTTTTATAGTTATAGATCTTACATTTAGGTCTTTGATCCATTTTCAGTTGATTTTTGCGTATGGTGTGAGATCAGGATCCAACTCCATCCTTTCTCATGTGATACCCAGTTGTCCCACCTCTATTTCTTGAGGCTATTCTTTCACCTTTGAATGGTCTTGGCACCGTTGTTGAAGATCAGTTAATCATTGATATGTGACTTTATTTTTAGACCCTCAATTCTATTCTATTCATCTGTATGTCAGTGCCATAGTGTTTTGATTATTGTAGCTTTGTAGTGAAATGTTGAAATTAGGAAGTTTGACTCTTTCAACTTTGTTCTTTTTTCAAGATTATTTTGGTTATTTGGGGTCCTGTGCAAGTCTGTATTATTTTTAAAATCAAATTTTCTGTTTTTGCAAAAAAGAATGATGAAATTTTGATATGAATTGCATTGAAACTGTAGGTCACTGTGGGGCATTTTGCCATGAACAAGATTAAGTCTTCCAATCCATGAATACTAGCAATAAATGATCTGAAATGTTGTATGAACAGCAGTAACATAAAAAAGCAATGAACAAAAGGAAATGATGTCATTTACAATAGCATCAAAAAGAATAAAATACAGGGCGCCTGGGTGGCTCAGTCGTTAAGCGTCTGCCTTCGGCTCAGGTCATGATCCCAGGGTCCTGGGATCGAGCCCCGCATCGGGCTCCCT